GGGCCGCGCCGGCAGCCTCCCGGGTTCTTGCAAGAACGCTGCAGCCACAGCGCGGCAGGGGGCAAGGTCCGGGAGCCAGAAAGCTCCGAACTGGGAGGAGAGGAAAGGTACCCGAGAGAGGGGCAGGCATGTCTTTGAAATGGCTGGATCCCGCCTTGGTAAGTCCAGCGAAGCGGTTAATAGAAAGGGCTTCTAGAAGCCGACGCAGGACCCCCGGAGCCCACCTTGTTTCTTACTAGCTGTTTGGCTTCACACGCCCTCTCAGCAGTAAAATGCATGGCCTCTTTCTCCGGACTGTGGTGGGGATTAAGAGGAGTTAACCCATGCCAAGTGCCCAAATAACGTCTGGCACACAAATTCTTTAAAAGTGATAAGCTATCCTTCAAAGGACTCAAGACCCAGTTTCGAAGCCCAACATGTGGTCTTCGTGCCGTGGTCTCGCTTGTAATAGTATGCTCACTGACTGCCTTCAGAAGGGCCATTTGGAGACCAGTTATGTCTTTCTCGTGACCTTTCCTGTGCACCTGTGGGTGCACTATCGGTCTGCTGCTCCTCAAGGTTTTCAGTGGCTAACCCCTCTGAAGCGCACAGCTGCATTCCTTTCTAGGCTGTTCTCAGCCTGGAATCTCTGCTGAATCTGCTCCCCTGGGTGGCCCTGCTGGTATGTGGAATACCAGAGACAGACCTTCAGGAAACATGCAAGGCGACCACAGTGTGACCAACTGATAGACAATGGAAACGCAAATCAGTACCACAATGAGATGCCATTTCACACCTACGAGGATGGCCAGAAGGAAAAGATGGGCAATAAAAAAAATTGATGAGGTGGTAGAGAAATCGTATCACTTATATATTGGGAGAGAAAGACTGGGCTTTCTATGCCCATAAATGGTTAAGGTCTCAACGTCGGACAGTGTAAGATATGACAACATAATAATAATTTATAAATTATCAAGGATTCATAAAGGAGGGGGGAGCGGGGAGATAGGGGAAAAATGAGGAGCTGATACCAAGGGCTCAAGTTGAAAGCAAATGTTCTGCGAATGATGATGGCAACAAATGTACACGTGCTTGACATAGTGGATGTATGTATGGATTGTGATAAGAGTTGTATGAGCCCCCAATAAAATGATTTAAAAAAAAAAACAACTTACCCCATTCACCCTACAGTCCTGACCTTGCCCCAAACTCGAAAACATTGAAAAGGAATAGCATTTGAGTCCACCAAGGATGTGCGGCTGCTGTTTCCGTATGGTGTAGAGTGCAGCATTCTTCAGGGAAGGGTTGCAGAGTGAAAGCAACCACTTTCAGAAGCAAACAACCTAGCTCGAGGATCTGTCAAAGAACAATTGCTTCATATTTTGCGATTTTTGTTTAAGAAAGGTTTCTATGATTTTATAGTAATATTTTTTCATTTATTCTCATATGCCCAAGATAACTGAAAATATGTTCACATAAAAACTGGTAGATGTTCAGCAGTATTCACAATAGTCAATAGTCAAAAGGTGAATACAGCTGTAGTGGTATAGCCATTCAATGATGAATTATATTCAGCCATAAAAAGGATGATCATTTAACATAGAAGTGTTAAATGAAAGAAGCCAAATACAAAGGTCACCTATTATATGACTCCATTTATATGAACTGTCCCCAAATAGCTAAGCCCATAGAGACAAAGAAAACGGAGCAGGGTTGAGGAGAGGAGGAACTGAGAGTGCTTGCTAATGGGTTCAGAAGTCCCAGCCTAGCACAAATAGTTAAGGGCTCAGCTACTCACCAAACCAAAAGATTGGTGGGTGGAACCTGCCCAGAAGTGCCTCAGAAGAAAGGCCTGGCAAGCTTCTTCTAACAATCTCAGCCATGAAAACCTTATGAAGCACATGGGGCTGCCGCGAGTCAGAGTCTGCTTTGTGAAGAAGGGTTTTGTTTGGATTGATGTGTGAATGGGCCCCAGGCTTCTGTTTTGGGAGATAAAAATAGAGATAGTGGTGGTGCTTGTATAATCTTATGGCTAAACCAGAAACCACGCCACTCTGCACTTCAAAAGGGCTTTATGACATGTGGATTCTATCTCATAGTAATAATCATAAAACATTGTGAATGGAACTACTTAAAAAATAAAATGGAAAACCTAAACAATAGCTAAGCAGGAGAAGGGCAAGGAGGGAGTGCTGATGACCTCGGGCCCATTGCACAGCAGAGGAGACTGACCTTCCACGGTGTCGTGTGCCAAAAAAGAGCTTTCTGGAATAAGTTCCTTCCGTATGTCAAAACCATGTGCACACTAACCAGTGTGTCTGAGCCACGGGGATGGAGTTGTGTCTGAGACTCCTGGAAATCTATGAACTTCTTCCCACAGTCTCACTTCTGGAATTGTCTCCCCCAGTACTGTTTACAACTTGTTTTTATCTGCCTTGCTGATATCTAAGGGGCTAAGACTTACACACTGTGAGACAGAATTTTCTGCACGTTTTGTTTCTTGCTACGAGGACTGTTTAAAGATCTTTAGCCTTTTAATTGCATTTAGGGGATTGTTCCTTAGCAAACTTGAAAAGTATTAGCTTCCTCCTCGACTGGCAGAAGCCCTGAAGGCACAGTGGGTGAGCCCTTCCCTAGCTGCTCCCTGGGAAAGAGGTGTGCAGGCTGCCTCCAGAAAGACGGAAACCCTGCAGGTAGATCTGCTCTGCACTGAAGGGTCACCGGAGGCCAAGCCAGCTCAACAAGCAGTGCATTTGGAGGTGTTTTATCTTCCACTGAACTTGACGCTAAGCTTCTGCCTCATTTGCTCCTTCTCTGGCTCTCACGGAGAGGGCTCACTTTAGGAGGTTGAAGCCTGGCACTGATATGTTTATTTTCAGGTGGGCTGCTTCCTCCTCTAAGGAGGGACCATCCCCCATGGAACTTCTGGAGGTATATCAGGTAATCCTTCCCATGGGCAGGTGGGCTCCCTGGTGCTCTGTGCCCCATCCCTCCTAGACAGGCCATCTTGATCCCAATATCCAGCACAAGAACCCACATGGAGCAGCTTGAATCTGGGTGTGGGTACCATGCTGCCTTCACACCATTTGCCAAGTCAGCAAGGTGGATGTGTAGTTGCTCCCTGTCTTCTGTGACCTTCTTCCCACATTACATGCCTGAAAAACCTCAGTTGGTCTCTCTCTGAAGTCAGCACATAGAACTGACAGAGGCTCCTTTCTGAGCATTTGCCATCTTTCACATTTCACTCCTTCCTTGCCTGGGGTCTGTGATTCTGAACAAAGAAAACAAAGTGTCTGTTATTCTTTACAAAGAGGCTTTGTAAAGAATGCTAACAAGGAAAAACTTATTTTTTGTAGGAATGCATTTGCAATTACTGACAGTGGCCGTTTTGAAAAATAGTGACTAAAGCCACTAAAATACCAGAAATTGTTAAGTCCAGCTGAGTGTATCTCATACCAACTCAATTGTCGATGCAATTTGTGTGATGCAGGTCCCTCCCCTCCACAGACCTGGGACTGTAGCCAGACTTTGACACTTGCTTACCTGCCTTGATTCAATTGACAGGATTGAATGTTATTTTTTAAAAATACTTTTATTGGGGGCTCTTACATCTCATCACAATCCATACATTCATCCAGTGTGTCAGGCACATTTGCACACATGCTGCCATCATCATTTTCAAAGCATTTCCTTCCCACTTGAGCCTGATATCAGCTCATTTCTTCCCCCTCCCTCATGAACCCTTGATAAGTTATCATTATTTTCATATCTTACATCATCCTGTCGCCTCTCACTCACTTTTCCCTTGTTCGTCCCCCTGGGAGGGGGTTATAGATTGATCCTTGTGATCAATTACCCTTCTCCCCCCACCCTCCCCTAATATCTCTACTCTTTGTTGGCCCTGAGGGGTTTATCTATCCTGGATTCCCTGTGTTTCAGGCTCTTATCTGTAGCAGTATGCAAACTCTCGTCTAATCCTATTTTTAAGGTAGAATTGAGGTCACGATAGTGGGGGGAAGGAGGCGTCAAACAACGAAGAAAGTTGTGTTTCATCAGTGCTATACTGCACCCTGACTGGCTCATCTCGTCCCTCTGTGAGTGGATGTCCAATTGTCTGCAGATGGGCATTGGGTCTCCACTCCATGCCCACCCCCTACCACTCACATTGGGTATGATTTTGTTCTGGGTCTTAGATGCCTGATACCCGATTGCATTGACACCTCGTGATCACACAGGCTGATGTGCTTCATGTGTGCTTTATTGCTTCTGAGCTAGATGGCCGCTTATTTACCTTCATTGAATGAGTTACTTATTGTGTATCTCTAACCATGAATAGTGTGAATGTTTAATAAATGGTTATTATTTCTACAATTATTAATACCTTCCCTAACATCTCTGTTTCATGTATTTAAGGTCTATTATTAGGTACATGTTTTAGGATTGTCGTGTTTGCATGATGAATTGACCTTTTTATTATTTTAGAAAGACTTCAACTTTTTGATACTAGGTGAGCGAGGATGGGCAGGTGGAGATAATCTTGGACACCGGGAGTGCTGTCACCAGGAAGAGGTTATTAGGGGTACTCCAAGACCCCTCCGTAGCCACTGGAAGACAGGTTTCTTGCCATTCAGTGTAAGAACCTTCAAGTAGGTCTTCAAGGAGCTCAAACATGGAGTGGCTGCTTCAAACAGTAGTGTGCTTCCTGTCTGGATGCAAGGACACCAGGCAACAAAACCTGCAGCTCATTGAAGTGCACGGAGGCCACAAACACCGTAAGCAGACAGGGCTTGAAGGCCTCTTCACAACTTGACAGCCTACAAGTCTTGTGAGGGGAACCAGACCCTAACACTATCATGGGTTCACAGGTGCAACTGAATGGTCAAGATACATAAAGATTATAGTAAAGCCATAGAGAATAAGAGAAGAGAGAGTAAAATAAAGGAGTCAGACACATTTCATGGTAGCATGCTCACCTCAGCCCTTTTTGATGGTCCACGTGGAGGTGCAGGAGGACAGGGCAGGAGAGAGAGAGAGAAAGAGAGAGAG